CCCCAAAATAAGCCAGACGTTTCACTTGAAAAGCCATACAGCCCATAAATGAAGTTGACTGGCTTTGAAATGGGCAGTAGAGATTTCACACCTCGTTTTTTCAATCTGGCTGTAAGTGGTTAGAGCCCAAGCGCCCCCCCACTCCCCAGGCTGTGCTAGGTGGTGCTGGGGGTCCTGCTGGGAGGAGGAAGTGGTGATGAAGGGAGTGAGCGGGACTGGGCTCCTGTGAGGTCGGGTTGAGGGGTGGGCAGCAGCTGGGTGAGCATGAAGGTGAATCTCGGCCGCAATGTGGGATGGAATTGGGTGGATGCGGAGGGGAGAGTGATGGGTTGGGAGAGGATGAAGGTCGGGGTTGAGGCTGCATGAAGATGACGGAAATGTTTGGGGTGTCACTGAGGGTGAGGGAGGGCTGGAAGGTGTGAGGACTGGGATTGGGGTGTGGGTTGGGGAAGATTTGGGGGTGTGGAAGAGTTCCGGTAATGACTGCAGCTTTGATTAGTGTCTAGGGCTTGGGTTAGTCTGGGGTCCAGCACCTACCGCCAATGCCCCCCAGCAAATCTCAGCCAGCCCCTCTCCCAGCCCCCCTCTCACGCTCTGGAAATGGGAGTACCTGCTCCGCAAGGGGAAGGGGCTGCAGGGCTGGTGAACCGCAGGAAGACAAACGGGAAGGAGGGCCAGGCGCTCGTGGTGGTTGTGGTGCTGGAGGCTTCCCAGGGTTCTGCCACCCCAACAGAGGAGATCCAGCCTCGGAGGCTGCTTCCTCTTTTCCCAAAGCCTCAGCCTGGAGGCTGGTCAGGGAGGCAGCTGCAGGCCTTGCATAATACCAAGACAGGAAAGGCCTCCTAGGCAGGGGAAGGGCCCCCAGGAAGGCCCTTCAGGACTCGAGCAAGCAGAAGTGGGATCGGGGGCCACACTGGAGTGTCCTCTCAGGCACAGTGAAATGGGGGGGGTCCTGCTTACCAGCCATGTCCATTCTCCTCTTCTTTGTGGCCACTGGCCTTTTTAGGGAGTCCAAGAGAGGAGGAAGGGAACTTTCTACCCATGGTCCTCCTGACAACAGGGAAGGAGACAAGCCCAGCCTGGGGTGAGGGAGCATTACAGGGCACCCAGATGCAAGTATTGATTCTCCAAGCCCTGTGGGAGCCTCTCAGTATCCCCCTGGTAGCAGGATTCTCTGAGAAGAATCCCCTAAGAAGCAGGCCCTACTCCCTGCTCGGCAGGGAGTCTGCTTCTCCCTCTGACCCTCCTCCCTCTCATGCTCTCTGTCTCAAAAAAATAAATAAAATCTTTAAAAAAAAATTTAAAAAAAATAAATAAATAAAAAATAGAAGCAGAGGGCCCTAAATGGGCTGGGGTTTGGGGTGGGATGTGGGGAGGCAGAGAAAGTCCCCGGCTTGTTCCCCACATTTCAGCCCTGGGCAGACTGCTCTCTGGTGCCTTCCTGACCTAGACCCCCGGGCAGGGCAGTGGCAGGAGGGCCCGAGGGATGTGGAGGCGGCTGGTGGGCTCCAGTGGCCTGACCCTCCCCACTGCGGGCAGGGGCTGGTGGGACGACTACTCACAGAGCACAGTGAGGATGGCAGGTGAGGAGGGGCCACTGGCACTGTGGCCATCCTTGGCCTGACAGTAGTAAGAGCCGGCGTCGGTGCTGGAGGCCGCCAAGAGCTGAAGGCTGCTGCTGGAACCCTCGAGAAGCAGGGCTCCGTTCCGGTACCAGGAGAAGCGGATGTCGGGCGATGGGCTCAGACCGGTCTTGCAGCTCAGTGTTACCCCTTGCCCTTCTACCACCTCTGCTGCGGGGCTGATGAGGAGGTGGACCACTGGAAGAAGAGGGAGCAGGGGAGGCTCAGGTCCCCCACACGCCGGCAGCTCCGTGCCACTGGCTGCAGGAAGACCTCCAGGGTTCTCCTCTCCCCACATGACTGTAGGTAGGTCTGGACTCCATGGCATCAGCTCCATGAGCCCCTTGATAATCAGGAGGGTTTGTCCTTGAATGCCAGTTCTGATCTATGGTAGTAGCTGGCTGCAGCATGGTCGAGAAGGATTGTGAGCCAGAGCTCAAGCTTCCATCGAAAACCCGGCTCCATTGATTAGCTCTGCAGGCCACGGCCTCAGAAGGAGGAAATGGCAGCATGTGCCCCGAGGTATGGATGACCGTGCTTTTCTATTCTTCCTCCTGCATCTGACTCCTGGCGCGGAGCCTGCCCCAAACGTTTGCTAAATAAGAAACAAACGGATATGAAGGACTCTTCAAGTTTGGAGTCCGAATGTGCACGAAAGGAATAATGCAACCTGCCATGTTTCCCTTTTGCCTTGACTTCAGGAACCTCCCCGGTCGGGATGACTGTATAGTCCAGATCTTTGATGTGATGTGTTTTTACCAACCAGCTTGTTCATCCCCTCGGCCAAGTCCTCTGGACTCCTGGGAGGAAGGCCGGAGCAGGCGTCCTCCTCAGGGTCCCTTCACCAGCCCCTCGTGCTGGTCTTACCTTTGGCATGGAAGTCCAAGGTCGACGTTGAATTCCCAAGGGTGTTGGTGGCTGAGCATGTGTATTCCCCACTGTCAGCTGGCCCCAGGTTTCGGATCTCCAGGTTCAGGGAGTTGGGGGTGGAGAAGACACTGAAGCGTGAGCTGTGGGACCCCTCCCCGGGGGTGGAGGCCAGGATGAGGCCATTGTGTGACAGCGCCAGGGTGGCCAGAGGCTCGCTGATCACCGAGCAGTGGAGGATGCCCACCAGCCCCTCCTGTGTCTCCAGGAAGGCAGTTAGCTCCGGGACAAGGGGCGGGTCTGTATGGAGATGAAGAGGTGTCGGTCACCCTCAGACAAGGGCAATCCCGGATCCCCCTTTATAGGCTATGATTCTGCACCTCCTTTGTTCCACAATGCCCCGCCCGTGAAGGGAGCAAGCCCAGAGCTCCCGAGGGCCGGTTGAATACCCTTATCCCTGAGTGGGGCAAATCACTTTGTCTTCTCAGTCAATAGCTGTGGCGACTCTGTGAGTGGGGGTCAGGGGCCCCACTTTGAAGATGGGAAAGCTGATGAGACACCTGGCAGTGGACAGCACCTCATCCAAGCGATCAGGGTGAAAGACTACCAGCAATGGGACAGACTGACATCAAGCGCCTCCTGATGGGACGCAGCAAGACGGACACAGCATCACACCCGCGCTGTTGCTTTCCGGGGGCACAGGCTCAGTCTACGCAAATCAGACAAACGCAAACGGAGGGACACCCACACAACAACTGGCCTGTACTCTTCACGTTTCAATGTCAAAAAAGACAAGGCAAGTGGTGCCTGGGTGGCTCAGTCGGTGAAGCGTCTGCCTTCGGCTCAGGTCATGATCCCAGGGTCCTGGGATCGAGCCCTGCATCGGGCTCCCTGCTCGGCGGGGAGCCTGCTTCTCCCTCTCCCTCTGCCACTTCCTCTGCTTGTGCTCTCTCTCCCTCTCAAATGAATAAATAAAATCTTAAAAAAACACACACACACACAAGGAAAGACTGAGGAACTGTCTCAGATTAAAGGAGAATAAAAAGATGGGACAAATGAATGCAATGCAGGATCGTGGCTTGGATCCTGGTTTTGGTTCAGGTCATGATCTCACAGTTGTGGAATTGAGCCCGGCGTCCGCTCCGTGCTCAGTGGGGAGTCTGCTTCAGATTCTCTCTCTCTCTCCCTCTGCCCCTCCCTGCTCTCTCTCTCACTCAAATGAATAAATAAAATCTTAAAAAAAAAAGAGAGAGAGAGAGACTAACTTCTATATGATTCCAACTATTTGACATTCTGGAAAAGGCAAAATTTTTTTGCCTGTGGTTTCCTCAACAGATAACTAAGTGTAGGACAGGGGATTTGGGGGGCAGTGAAACTATTTTGTATGATACTGTAATGATGAATACATGATATTATGTAGTTTTCAAAACCTATAGATACACAACACAAAGAGTGAACCTTAATGTAAACTAGGGACTTTAGTTAATAATGTATCAATGTTGGTTCAGTAATTGTAACAAATACACAACACTAATCCAAGATGTTAATATAGGGGAAACTGTGCAAGGAAAGCATACATGGGAACTCTGTACTATCTGCTCAATATTTTTGTAAATTTAAAACTATTCTTAAAAAATGAAATCTATTGGGTGGCTCAGTCGGTTAAGCATCCAACTCTTGATTTCAGCTCAAGTCATGATCTCAGGGTGGTGAGACCAAGCCCCTTGTCAGGTTCACACGTTGGGCCTACTTAAGATTCTCTCTCTCCCTGTCTCCTTCTGCCCCCCCCCACGCACACATGCTCTCTCTTTCTCTCTCTAAAAAATAATAATAAATAAAGACAGAGAGCAAATGTACCAAACTGTTAACAAATGAGGAATCTAGGTTAAAGGTATATGGTAATTCTTGGTATTCTTCGTGCAACTTTTTATAAGCTTAACTTGTTCAAAATGAAAAGAAGTCTAAAATAGGAGGAAATTGAGGGGTGCCTGGGTGGCTCAGTCGGTTAAGCGGCTGCCTT